GCATATATCTGTTCTTGTTATGGCTCTCACTTCTTTAGGGTATATACCTAGTAATGGGATGGCTGGGTCAAATGGCATTTGTATTTCCAACTTTTGAAGGAATCGCCGTACTGCTTTCCACAATGGTTGTACCATTTTACAGTTCCTTGGGTTCCTTTTCCCAGTCCTGCACATCCTTGCTCTGCTTCATACTCTCTCCTACCCTCTGTCCCTGCTTAAAGCTCTGACCCATGTCCCCCATCTCAACAATGTTCCACAGCTCAGCCAGGCACCCAGAAATCACCATTAAAGCGATGCCACAGTTCCATGTCTTCTGAGAGGGAGGAGGATGAGGATACCATGAAGAGCTGTGTACTCAGCCCCTTATTGCTCCAGGACCCCATCAAAAATGTAAGTGCTGGAGGCGGGCACTGAGGGCAGGACAGTAACTAGAGGAAGAGGTGTACCAATGATAGACACTTGTGTCCACAGGAGAAGGGAGCCAGTGAGAGAACAGACCATTCAGACACAGGGAGCAGTAGCAAAAGCAGCAGCAGCAGCAGCAGCAGCAATAGCAACAGCCCTAAGCCTCAGGAAGGTACCACCTCCCCTGCCTCATGTGTCATCCTCCGTGCCTAACAATGCCACGATCTCTGGCCCTTGAACCCCCAATCTGAATGACCTGTACCTTTGTCTTGCTTCCAGGCACAGATGCAACTGAGACCCCTTTTCAAAGGGATCAGGTGTTCCTGGAACTTCTGCTTCCTCCAGACTCAGGTATTTGGTGTTTCTGATTCTTCTCTGCTGCCTGTTCCCCTCAGGTTTTCTTCTCTGGCTATGCCTACATTTTCTTCCCTGTCAAAGCTTGCAGCCAACTGGACTCCCCTTACCATAGACAGGGACCCTGGTTTCTAGGCAACGAGAATTCCAGGAGCTGTTGGCCAGACTCCAGACAGCTTGCTCCTCCAAAATACTACCTTACACACTCTATTCCCTAGAGTTCCCCTTTGAGACATTCCTTTCTTGGGTTAAACAGAGGCCTAATCTCTTGGGCTCTTATAAACTGCAAGACCCTGGCCATTAAGCTCCAAAGGCCTCAGTATGAATCGCTTTATTAGCTGCCCCCTGACAAAGAGGAAAGCCTGACAGGTAGCCCCCTGGCTGATGGGGGGATGTGGGGAGTAAAGAGAAGGAAGGGGGGTACCTTTTCTCATCTCAGCAGGTGCACATACAGCCCCAGCCCCATTGCCCTCTTTGTCCTCCCTAGATTTTGCTTGGCGCCCCTCTCTGGGCCTCAGTTCCTCATCAGTAAAATAAGGACAGTGGATTTACAAGGAGCTCCGTTTCATTTCCCCAGAGGCTCGTGCTAACCAGGTGTTCCCAGGGACTGGGGAGAGGCACCGCTGCTGGCTTGGGAGTTCCCCCAGCACCGGGTGCAGCTGCCACTCTCTCTGTCCCCAGACTACTCGCTGCTGCTCACCTTCATCTATAATGGGCGTGTGGCTGGGGAGACCCAGGTGCACGGCCTGGACTGTCGCCTTGTGGCCGAGCCCTCAGGCTCCCAGAGCAGCATGGAGCAAGTGATTTTCCCCAAGCCTGACCCACTGGAGCCCACACAGCGCCTGCTGAGCCAGCTCGAGAGGGGCATCCTAGTGGCCAGCAACCCCCAAGGCCTCTTCGTGCAGCGCCTCTGCCCCATCCCCATCTCCTGGGATGCACCGCAGACCCCTCCTGGTCCAGGCCCACATTTGCTGCCCAGCAACGAGTGCGTGGAGCTCTTCAAAACAGCCTACTTCTGCAGAGGTGAGGTTGTTCCAGCTGAGCACCTGAGCCTCTATTCCCCACTTCTTGGTACTCCTTGGGTCCCACTTGGTAGGCCCTGCTACACCCTGTCAGCCAGCAGGTCCTCCGTTTTAGTCTGTGCCTTGAACTTGTGCAGTGCACACCCTATGCGATCATACCAGCTTCCTGGCAACTCTCCTTCCCCAGCAAGGCTGTGGAAGATGAGGTTCAGGTTGAGGCCAGCACAAAAGCGTCATTATAATAATTACATAACTTCCGTGAAAGCGCACAGATAGGTCACACACGGTTTTGGGACCCCTGGCCCTCTTTTGCACTCACACTGTCACATACCGCCATCCGCATATTTGGAGAGTTGGCACACACCACATACTGGCCTGACACCAGGAGTCCCCTAAGGCTGCTCTCTCATCTAATCACTCTTGGAATTCCATTTCCTTCCTCCACTTCACTCTAAATCTGACTACAGGAGTAGAGTCAGGAGCATAGGGGACACAGAGTGTGGATGTTCCCGGGGCCATGTGTAATGTAACCTAGCATTGGTGGGGGGAATGGTTAGCAGCAACAAGAGGTGTGCGCACATGTGGGCAGCTGCCACTGAAGATTCTAAACTCTGTGAAAGATTGCTTTCAAGTTGTGTAATAATCTGCTACCTTTAAACATGACTGACTTTGAGCGTTTTTCTGTTCATACCTGGGTGAGTAGCTGCTTCTTGTTGTTGTTGTTATGTGCTGTCGAGTCAGATCTGACTCATAGCGACCCCTCCTTGGGTTTCCGAGGCAGTATCACTGTGGAAGTAGATTGCCCCATCTTCCTTCCGAGGAGTGGCTGGTGGGTTTGAACTGCCAGCCTTCTGGTTAGCAGTCAAGTGCTTTAGGCATAATGCCACCAGAGTTCCTGAGTAGCTCCTTAGTGCCTAGCATTTCTCCTGACCCAAGGCAATAACTGCCTGATCCTGCAGCTCCTGCTCTCTTGCTTTGGTCTCTGAGTGGTCTCACTCCCACCCCTCTTTCGCTATCTTGGATTCCTCCCTACCACTTCCCTACATGTTGCCCTATCTCCTCTTCCTTTTCTTTCTTCCAACCCCTGACCCTCTCTCTTTCAGACTTGGCCAGGTACTTCCAAGGCCTGGGCCCCCCACCCAAGTTCCAAGTAACACTGAATTTTTGGGAGGAGAGTCCTGGCCCTAACCATACCCCACAGAATTGTATTACAGTACAGGTGAGTTCAAGGCAGGGACTAGCCTGTCCACAGCTGGGGGTGGTGGGTAGTGTTTCCAGAAGGAGAACCAGTCTCTGGGGAGAAGCAGCTCTTGAAGGCATTGCCTACCTGCTGTGCTTACTGACGGCCTCTTCCCCCACCTCTTCCTGTACAGATGGAGCAGGCCTTTGCCCGGCATTTACTGGCGGGGACTCTAGAAGAGCAGTCAGCCACTCTGTCCCTGATGCAGAGCCTGGGGGACCCCCCTGTCTCCTCACCTCTTCTCCTCCTCTCTCCTTTAGATAGAGCCATTCTCAACACTGGTGACCTGGCTTCCTCTGTGTTAATTCTCAGTGATTGTGTGTAATGGCTGCATCCTTGAACTCTTCACCATGGATGGTGGGAAACTCAACGATGATTTTTGCCTCTCCCTCCCGCTTTTTTTTTTTTTTTTTTAAGACCTACTGTCTTTCATCTCTAAGGAATGGGGAAAATCCAAATGACTGAAACTCAGGAGACCTTTCCCTCTTTTCCCACACCTTCACTCTAAAGCCAAGCACTTTATATTTGCTTCCTAGATCGTCATTAAGCATTTTAAATAAACTTTTCTTGAAAGAAGAATCAGTATCTGATTTGCTGAGAGAAGAAGGTAGCAGGGTCAAAAGTGGATGTCACAGATGTGAATTTGGGAACTGGGCACTTAGGTTCTCTTGCTGCTGATGTCTCTGGGCCTGTTTCATCTCCTCTGCCTACAGCATCTGACTGCCAAGCTGTCTGAACTCTGTAGGCTCTGGGCCTGGCTTTCTGAACCCTGTAGACCACAAGAATCGGGGGGAATAGTTGGGATCAGTCACCAAGAGGGGCACTGAGACTATAGCTGAGTACTTTAGCCACCTGCTTCACAGAGGAAAGTTTGCACTCTACCTTTCTTTGCTTAGGGCCTCAATGACAAGCCTGCCATTGGACTAGAGTTCTAGATGAAAAGAGGAGACACTTGAGATGGGCCTGAAACTATGGGCTAAAGGCCTTGGAGGGGAGAGGAAGTCAAGGGAGGGGCTGCTGAACCTCCTCTATCTGGCTGCTTCTATGGAGGTAGATGGGGCCCTGAGTCCCTCCTCCCAGCACTGCCACCCAGCACAGGTCCCCTGTCACCTTGACCGAATGTTTCTCCCAAACCTGATTCTTCACCCTACACAAGCCCCACAAAAGAAACAACCTAGCATATGCTACCATATCACTAACAACCATTCACAAAAATTTGAGGGGTCTAAATCAGCTGACACTCCTCTCCCTTCTCTCCTCTATTCATTCTGCCAACAAAGCGGCAATTCCTTCTTCACAAGGCCACTTGTCACCTGACTTCTGTGCACACACCCTTCTACCAGACAAGTTCAGACCCAGGTCACCACTTACTGGACTATCAGAGCTTCCCCTTCCTGCTCACAACACTGGATTGGCATTCCAGTGTCATTTCCTGTCTTGTCATTCTGTTTTAGACCTTCAGTGGCATGATCAAATCCAAATGCATCTGGTTTTCCAAGAGTCTTCCTCTTGCTCCCTCATTTGACAAACTGAATGCTGCTTTTGAGCCTCTCTGCCTTCTGGGACCTTTGTTCTATTCAGTCTTGCCCATCATCCTCCTAAGAAGCCAAGAGCCTCAACAGGCATCTGTTCTACCATCAAAGAACTCACATTCTGAGTGCCACAATTGAAGGCTGTTGTGCCTTCAATTCACTGAAAGCCCTCTTGAACCTTCTTTGTACCAGGTCCTGAGTACCAGGTCCTTGACTTCCATTTTCTCTCATACCCCACATCCAATCCATCAGCAAATCCTTCATTCCTTAAATATATTCAGGACCTGACCACTTCTCTCTGTTTCCACCACCATCATCTCTCACATCGAACCTTCTAACTTGTGTTAGGAGCTCATTAGTGCCCCCACTTTCTCATCTTATTCACCTTCAGCCTATTGTCAACAAAGTAGAGGTACTTTTTTTTTTTAGCAGTACAACTCTGTTGTGTGTGTGTGTGTGTGTGTGTGTGATTTGGGTGAAGATTTACAGAGCGAATTCACTTTCCATACATACAACAGTTCACATATACTTTGTCTCATGTCATTGACCACAGTTTACCGCAATGCAACAGCTCCCCTCCCACTTCTTCCCTATAGTTACTTCTTCCCTGTGCCCAGCCCTCCATACACTCCTGCCCCCTAAGCTGTCTCCCTGTGCATACGCAGCCAGTAGAGGTACCTTAACCTATAAATCTGGTCATGTCACACCTCTGCTCAAAACACTCCATTGGCTCCCAACTCAGGGTAAAAGCCTACATCCTTACAATGGCCTCCTAGGTCCTTATGATTTGGCCCTCATCCTCCTCTCTAACCTCATCCCTTGCCTTTTTCCCCTCAGCCACTTTGCTCTGGGCTATCCTTGAACCCACCAAACACATTTCTGCCTCATGTCCTTTGCACTTACTGGTTCTTTTGTCTAAAACACTCTTCCTCCATGTAGGCACACAATTTGTCCCCTCACTTAATTTGTATCTCTGTTAAAATATCATGTCTTCAGGAAGGGCTTCCCTGAGCACTCTATCTAAATACTCATTACTCTTCTATGCTGCCTCATTTTTCTTCATAGCACTGATCATCACCTGACATATTTCTTATTTCTCTACTTGTTTATCATGTCCTTTCCCCATAAGGACAGAATCTTGTTTTTATTCCTTGCTGTATGTCAAGTACCTAGAGGAGTGCCTGGCACATACTTGTTGAGTAAGTGAATGAATGAGTGAATAAATGACTGTGGCCCTTGCTTATCTCCTAAATTAGGTTCTAAGCACCTGAAGGGCAGGTGCCCCCACTTTCTCATCTTTATGTCTCAAAATGATCACTTAAAAATGTTGACAACTTATGTACAGTGATTAAAACAATTTCTAAGTATCATGTAGAAGCCAATCTAGCCAAGCACAATGGAATTGGGACTGGGAGCACTGGAGTTCCAGAGAGTGGGTTTCCAAACCACCCAGAGAGTGGGGTTCCAAAGCAGGCTCTTACTAAGAGCTGTGTAGTTGGGGAGAAAGTCTGTATGGGCCTGTTTTGTCATCTATAAAAGTAGGGCTTGGACTAGATGATTTCTAAATCCCTTTCAGCTTTGACATTCTGTGGCTGTAAATTTAGGGCAACTACATATTCATTTGATGAATATTTACTAAGCTAGGTGCCAGGTATTGGCTGAAAAAGACAGGACCCCTGAATTCAAGAGCTCCCAGACGGAAGGAGGCTGTAAATAGATAGCATCAGCCCAGCTGGAACAAAGAGGCCTAAGTCCTCTGGAGTGAAGAGCACTCTAAGGCCCAAAAAACAACTGGGCAGGATGTACAGGGATGAGGAGGGTTTGTAACTACAAGCATACAACGTAATTTCACACAAAGAATGTTTGAGACCAATAAATGGCTTTTATAGGCTGAGAACTGGACCCTGAATCCAACAGAGGACAGTCTATTTCAGCCCAGAGAACATTCACAACTCAGAATGCCCACAACCTTGACCCAGGCAAGTTCTCTGCTTCATGTGAGATCTGACTTCTTGCCCACTGACCTGTGGCGGTACCAAGTCCACCTCACACCCCTTTCTACCTCCCTAGCACACCATAGGGAGCTCAGGTAGCATAGTGCCTAAGGCACATGACTGCTAACCAGAAGGCTGGTGGTCCTCGGAAGGAAGAAGGGGCAATCTACTTCCCTAGTGATACTGCCTCGGAAACCCAAGGAGGAGGGGTCGCTATGAGTCGCGTCCGACTAGATGGCACATAACAACAACAACAACAACAGCACACCATAGGCACTGAGCTGGGCACAAAGTGAGACCAATGGCTGACTTGATGGAATTTGGCGGGAAGGGCAGCGTCTAACATTTTGCCACCCTGAACCAGGTTAGGGCGGTTGCCCTCCATATGACCCCGACCTCCGTTTGTAGTTGAACCGCTGTTGTTACCAGGCTCGCAGCAGGGGAGAAGCTGAGATTTGCTTCTCTGTCATTGGTCAGCAGAGTAGCGTCTTAGAGAAATGCTTGTTACTAGGGGCAAAAAGGAATGCCCGTTAGTCAGGACACCTCACAATGGCCAGGGCAGAGCGCAGTTCCTTCTGATTGGTTCGCTGCTGTCTCCGGCGCCACCTGTTGCCTCGAACCCAGGCGAACCCGACTTCTGTTCCCCATTGGCTGTTCTGAGGGTCGCTGCCCTCAAACAAGGAGTGAGATGCAAAGCATCTGAGCTCTCATTCCCTGAGACGGGGTCTAGTCCTGCAGGGGGCGACCCAGGACGGGGACTGCAAGTGCCCACGCTACGTGCAAAGACGCAGGAATTTGGCATATCGCCGGGGCCTGCGGAGGAAGTTCTACTACCGACACTCACTCTCTCTCGGGACCTGGGCTGAGGATCAGCTTTTGGGGAGCTCAGCATCTGGAGCCTGGAACCCAATCCTGAAGAGTCCAGTAAGTAAGTTCGAAGTAACAAAGCCACGCGCGTCCCTACTCCTCCATATCGAATCTACGCATCTACTTAATAATCTCTTCAACTGTTTATCCGCAGATTGTTTATCAGTTTATTTATTTGGCTATCTGGGTCCTACTCTCTGTCGGTGTTGGGAAATCCTGAACCGTAAGAATTCGACTTGAGATCCAAACGGAGGAGTTGTGGAGGCGAGGGTGAAACCACGGAGGGAAAATGTTCTATTACCCTAACGTGCTTCAGCGGCACACGGGCTGCTTCTCCACCATCTGGTAAGTGCAAGGAGGAGTGGGAGCCTTTGGGGGGGGGGGGCGCCAGGGGCTCTCAGCCAACGCTCCTACCACCCCCACCCCCTGCTCCAGGCTGGCAGCTACCCGCGGCAGCCGCTTGGTGAAGCGGGAGTACCTGAAAGTGAATGTGGTAAAGACCTGGTAAGGCCCAGAAAAGGGAGGAGAGGCCTGACTCCTGGGTGGGTCAGGGAATGGCTGGGTGGACAAGGCGGTGGGAATGGGCCTCCAAGGAGAGGTGAGAATCGTAGGAAAGCCTCAACTAAGTGAAATCCTCCCCCAGTGAGGAAATCCTCGATTACGTGATGGTTCGCGTGGAGCCCCCACGACCTGGCCTACCGCGGCCCCGCTTCTCCCTCTATCTCTCAGCCCAGCTACAGATTGGTGTGATCCGAGTATACTCCCAACAATGCCAGTACCTCGTAGGTAAGGTGGGGAAGCCCAAGAGGTGGGGCAGAGCCGCCTGGCTCCTGGTGCTGACCCTCCATGCATCACCCTCTGTGCCCACAGAAGACATCCAGCATATCCTGGAGCGCCTGCATCGTGCCCAGCTGCAGATCCGCATAGATATGGTGGAGCCAGAACTGTGAGTGTCTCCCTGAGACTGAACCCACCCAGCCTTTGGTGGCATAACCACCTGCTTGGCCTCCATGTGTGTCAGCCTCAGCCCTTGATAGCCCACTCTGTACCTTAGACCCAGCCTGCTGCTGCCTAGCCACCTGGCTATGATGGAGACCCTGGAAGATGCTCCTGACCCCTTTTTTGGGATGATGTCTGTGGAGCCTCAACTTCCCAGCCCCTTTGAGATCCCTCAGGTAGAGCTCAGTCCCCTATAACACCTCAAATTCATGAAGTGACAGTGCAGAAGGGGAAGGGCTGCCCTGTGCCAGTCTGGCAAGGGATTAGGGGGCAGGGACCTGTCAGGAGATGCTGGGCCCATTCGGGTGAAGTCCCCTGTACTTACCGAGATAAACCTGCTAGGACAGTGTCTCCACAGGAGGCAGCTTCTGGCCCTGCTCATTTCCACACTGTTCCCACTGCCAGGGCCCTAATCCTGACCCTCATCATCTCTGTGCACATGGCTTCTCTACCCGTACCTGTCTCCAAGCCATTCTCTGGACACCCACAGCTTAGATAATGTAACCTTCTTCCCTCAGACACTTTCAGTGGCTTCCCACTGCAAACAGTAATAGCACTGGGGGCTCTCCATGGCATGGTCCAAAGCTAGCCTTCTCCAGACATCTCTCAGTGTGCCCTCTGGCATCTTTGGCCTCCAAACACCAGTCTAGCCCCTAGCCTCCATGTTCATTTTTTTTTTATTCCCCCCTAGTTCAAATGGTCATCCTTCATGCTCTACTAGTCATGTCCTACATGTCCTTACAGACCTGGCTCACACGTCCTTTTCTGTGCCTTTATCCCACCCCTAGCCAGAATCAAACGCTGTTCCAGAATTCCAGGCATTATTAGAGCTGTGTTTTATCTTTTGTGTTGACTCTTGCTGGGGTCATATTACAAACTTGTTTCCCTGATAGATCATACTCTGTAAAATCAAGAATCTTTTCTCTTTACCTGTTTCCCCCGTGACACTTGACATAGGATGGAGTGTTATTGCATAGACAGGGTGACAAAAGCCAGATGATGTGGGGGAATGGGAGGAAAGGAGACCAGATGGGGAGTGGGCTTCTTGTAGGCTGCTGCTAATACCATGAGAATCAGACATAACAGGTAGTACCATCCACTGTCTGAATATCAGGGAGCCCTGGTGGTGCATTGGTTAAGTGCTCAGCTGCTAACCAAAAGGTCAGTGGTTGAATCCACCAGGTGCTCTGTGGGAGGAAGATGAGGCAGTCTGCTCCTCTAAAGAGTATAGTCTTAGAAAGTCTATGGGGGCAGTTCACTCTGTTGTATAGTGTCGCTTTGAGTTGGAATTATTTGGATTTGGGTTTGGTCTGAATAGCTAAGGCTGTCAAAGTAGAAAAGTAGGAGGCTGATGCTGAATCCTATCTTTTGTCCCTAATCTCTTCCCAAAGATTCGACACCTCTTAGAGGCTGTGACCCTAGAGAGAGTTCTTGAGGAGGCGCCTCCGGAAGTCCCTACAGAGCCCCGGAAGCCAGGTTAGCACACAGTACCTTTTTTCTGCTGAGATATAGGAAGGCCCAAGAGCTGAAGAAATCACTTTCTTTGAGCTGTCTTTCTGAAGTCAGTCTCCATGAGGAGCACTTTATGTGCGTAAACTCATTACTGCCTCACAAGTCTTTTTTTTTTAACTTTGTACTGTGATTTGAGTGAAAATTGCCTCACAGAAGTCTTATGAGGTCAGAAATTTTATCTTCATTTTACAGATGAGCACAGTGAGGCTAATAGTGGTCAGATTGCTGATGACTGTTGTGGGCCTGACTAGAACGTGGGTTGACTTGATGCCAGAATCTGTGCTTTTGCCTCATTGCATGGGTGTGGGGTTCTAGAAAGGAGAAGCGGGGTTAGTATGACTTCCCTGACTCTCCAGACAGGATGCCGGGTATTGTGGTCTCTCCTGAGGCCATCACCCTCAAGGAGGCAGAACCCATACACGTGCTGCCGATCGAGGTGAGTGGTCCCCCCACAAACACACCCAGGGCCTGTGGCCCAGGTCCTGCTTCTGATGGCCCCTTATCCCCTGCATCTACTTCTCTCTGTCCCCGGAGTCCTGCCTTCTGTCTCAATTTCTGCACTTCCTACCCATCACTGGAACACCCACTCGGCTTCCTCCTGGCCCCATGGCTTGTCTCAGGCTTCCTAGATCCATCTACCTTTTTCAGAAATGGCATCAAGTCCCTGCCCCTTGCTATTCCTCTCCCAACAGGGTGAAAAGGACCTCCCCGAGGTCAGCCGTCGAGACCTTGACCTGCTGATAGCTGAGGAAGATGAAGCAATCTTGTTAGAGGAGCGTCGGCGTGCCAGGCCTCTCCCACCAGGTAGGGCACGCCCAGCGCTGGATGGTTAGGCCTCTAGCATGGGCAGTCTGGGACTGGGCAGTTCTCCCATCTCTTCTCTTCTGCCTCCTAAGCTGTGGTCTTCTCTCCACAGAAACCAAGGAAGAGCCCCGGGTCCCAGAGGGTGAAATCACAGTTCCCCCACCCTTGTCTCCAGCTCCTGAACAGTAAGGCCAGGAACTCCTGGGCCAGGTGGGGGCCACTGCTGTGGGTGGGTGCCCTAATTTCTCTGGTCTCTGTTCCCTTAGGGTGGAAGTGGCAGCAGAGCCACTTCCAGGCCTGGTGGTAAGCCCTGAGGAGCTGAAGCGTGTACCCTGGGAGCCAAAGGCTCTACCCACTGGTGAGTGCCCACCAGGCCCGGGGGTCTCCTGAGATAGCTGTGGCAGATAGGGGCCCTGAATTCCAACTTGTTTAAGGGAGAGCCCTCTAGCTTCTTTCCTGGGTGCTGCAAGGGTGAAGGGGCCTGTAGGACAGAGCCAAAACCTAAGTGTTTTTGCAGAGGTGACCCCACCCCAGGAGCTGCGTCTGCCAGTGCAACCAAGTCCAGAAGTGAGTAGTGTCCCTTCCAAGCCTTCTCTTTGTCATCCTCCCAGAGATGTTTCCCCAAGTTCAAGCCACTGCTACCTTACCTGGGGCTTTAGTGCAAATTAGCGAAAAGTACCCTTTCCCAATGTCCCATTTTATCTAGTGCCCACTCATCCCCTGCCCAGATCCGTATACTCATGCAGGCTATGTGTTACATAGCAGTGGAGGCCCTGTCCCAACGCTTCCCATGGCACCTAGAGCCATTTGCAGTCCACTAGGATGACAAGCAAAGAAGTAGCGATTAGCCTTGCCCCTGCCATCCCTCCCCACTCAGCGGAAGAGGCCTCCAGTCTTCCCACCTCCTCGACGTCGCCGCCGCCGCCAGTTACTGTTCTGGGACAAGGAGACTCAGATCTCCCGGGAGAAATTCCAGGAACAACTGCAAACTAAAGCCCATTGCTGGGAATGTGTGAGTGCCAGCGCAGGCCCTGGGGAAGGAGGTGGGCGGCGGGGACGGCCTGGGGGGGGAGCATTGGGAATTTGATGGAAAACTTGGCTCCATTCCCCAGGAAATGTAGGTGACGTTTGTTTGCACACCCAAAATTCTCCATGCTCTCTAACCTCACCTGACATACCCTCAGGCACCAGATTAAAAAGTCCTGTTTTTAGCAATGAGTGGTGCAAGCAGGGGTGTGAGCCTGAAAGAAATGGGAGGCCAGATAACTCTGGAACAACGCTAAAGTGGTAGAGCGAGGGCAGGGAGGAATGTCTCCCTTGTAACTGGGTTTTTGGCCTTCCCCCCGCAGCCCATGGTGCAGCCCCCTGAGAGGATGACCATGAGCCCTCCGGAGCTGTTCCAAACTCCAACTCGCCGTAAGAGTGGTGGGGGCTGGATACCGAGGACCCACTGAACCCACATTTCTTGGTGCTTCTCATCCCTCAAATCCTTATCTTGCTGCTTCTTGTCCCCAGCTGGCTGGCTACCCCCAGAACTACTGGCTCTCTGGACTCACTCTGCCCAGCCTCCCCCAAGAGTGCCTAGACGCAGGCCACCCCGTACACTTGAAGAGGAGGCTGCTGAAAGGGTCATAGCAGCTGAGGAGGAAAGAAGAAGGGCTGAAATTCTGAGTGATATTGAGGTAACTGCATCTTGACTTTTTCCCTGAAGACCCTGCATTCTGCTTTGCTTGAGCACCCAGTGGGCTGCCTTCTGCCCATATAAACAAGCTCACTAGCCTTGAATCTTTAGGCACAAAACCCAGTCCTAGCCAGCAGCAAGGGAGCTTGTCCCCAGACCCAAGCCAGGACTGGTTCTGGGCGAGTACACTACCCCCAACTGCTCAGACCTAGGTGCTTGTGACGCTTAGAGCCTTAGTTCTCTCTCCTCCCCAGGTCCTGAGGGAGGCTCAGGAGCCCAGCGGTCCCCTCATGCTGTCTTCAGGTGTGTGAAGGGGTACAGGGGTGTGAGCCTGAAAGAAGTGGGAGGCCAGATACCTCTGGGAGGGTAAGCCCCGGAGAGGCAGGGCAGTGGAGACCGCCACTCTAGATTGTCCCAGAAAACCGATTCCCAACCTGTGTTTATGGGAGTGAGGCAGTGTGTGTAACATAAATCACAGATAGGAGTTTGCCCACCTGTATATTCTTAACAAGTCAGTTTATAGTTCTGGCTTCCACTTAGACCAAGTGACCCTAAGGTCCTGACTGCTCAAAGTCAAGCAGAAACCCTGCCCAGCACCTTTTCCCCACCCCCCCAACAGAGCTCTCCCTAGAAGCTGCTGAGGAGGAGAAGTCCCGCATCAGCCTCATCCCACCGGAAGAGCGGTGGTAAGCTGCTAGGCTGTGTGTAGGCCTGGCCAGGTGGGGGAAATGTTGGGATGGTATGCCCCTTGTTACCACCAAGGGTACCAGCCTCCCTGCTCTCTACCTGTCTCCCCTGTTCTCCCAGGGCTTGGGCTGAGGCAGAGCAGCCAGAGCCCCCTGCGTTGCCTGTGGTCCCCGAACTCCCTGAGGTGCCCATGGAGATGCCTTTGGAGCTGCCCCCAGAGCCTGAGCTGTTCTCGCTGGAAGCTGTGCATAGGTACCAGGGAGGGGCTGCCTTACTGTGGTGGACCTGGGCTGCAGCTTCAGCTAACAGTTCTTGATCCCTATAGGGCAGTAGCACTAGAGCTGCAGGCCAACAGGGAGCCGGACTTCAGCAGCCTGGTGCCACCTCTCAGCTCCCGCAGGACGGCTGCCCGGGTTTTCTACATGCTCCTGGGTGAGTGTAGGGACATGTATCTGTACATATGTACGGTGGGGGAATACAACGGGCCAGAGGCCACTGTAGGGACTACAGTGAGGGCAGGGAAGAGTCCCCCTCACTTTGCCCTTTTCTCCTCTCTTGCCCAGTGCTCTCAGCACAGCAGATCCTTTCTGTGAAACAAGAGCAGCCATATGGACGCCTCTTGATCCAGCCAGGGCCCCGATTCCACAGTGGTTAAAGCCCATTTACAAAGCTGCCAGGAAATCAGCTACATTAAAGCATGTCCTGCCTCACTGGGTGCTGCCTGCCTTCTTTCTGAATGTTCATTTCCATCAGAGCTGCCCTCAGAGCTCCTGTTCAAGCAGAAAACTGCCTTTATTGTAGTATGATGTCAAGATGCCATGTGTGTTGTTTCACAGCAAAACAAGTCCAGCCTCAGGGACACCTGTGTAAGGCAGCAAACAAGGCTAAGACTCCCAAGGGAGCATGAGGCCCAGAACTTTTGGTAAGGCGTGAATGGGAACTGGGCTGGGAAGTGGTCTCGAGGCCTAGGCTACTCTGTTCTTCTGGCCTGGCCACAGCTCACAGTCTAGGTGAGGCCCAGAGTGGCCTGGAGTTCTTGTGCCTTGTCACCAGGCAGTGAGCCCAAGGCTGAATGGAAGCTGTCAGCATGCTGTTTGGCCAGGAAGGTCAGGAGCAGCAATAGTGCAGCCTTGGTGTCTGGGTCAAGAGTGCAGAGGGAGAGGTCTCAGGAGGACTGGCTCCTGACTCCTTGCTCCCAGGCTTCCCCAGCCCCGTCTGCCGCTCTCACCTGCTGGGATCTTACTGTCAGCCAGAACCAGGCTGCAGATGCGCAAGAGCTCTGGAGCCACGTCAACAACCTGTGGGAAGAACAGCAGGCTCAGGGGCAGCAGCAACCCTGGGTCTCGGGACTGGGCAAGGGGGCTGGGACAGAATCCAGAGGCAGGGCTACCCTACCCAGAAGGCCTGGGGTGGTAGAGACCATAGAGAGGCACCCACCATCCCCCACCAGGGCTGCCTGAGCCTGGTATTGATTCACAGCCATCCAAGACAACATGAGAAGGGCCAGTGGAACATGGTGCTGATAATTTTCTTGGAGGGGACGGGATGTGTGATAGAAGGTGACTGAAGTCATGGCCCTCAAAACCAAAAGTCCACACACCCAGCAGCACCAACATAGCAGTCTCTAAAGGGGAAGACAAAGGGGGACAGATACAGGAACACCAGGACGTGAATCCAAACCTAGCTACTTGGTACAGACAAAATCTCATTTAGAGAACAGTTTGTATGATTGAAATGTATGGTGGGGTGGCCCAGAAGTATCCAAAGCTCCATGGAGTACAGTTTGAAACAGCCCTAGTCTAGGAGAGCAGCCCAGAAAGGCTACAACTTCTGGCACAGACCACACAATAGACACGGCCAGAGGATGGTCCTTCCCTGAGGAAAAATCCTCCAACAAGAGAAGTAGCCCTTCCATCTACCAAGGACAGGCTGCCAACCCCTGCAGGTGACAGACAAATGAGAATGTGGGTGAATATGGAGAACCATATAATGACGGCTTAAGCTATCACTCTGTGTCAGCTGTAACTGACGCCAGCTCTGCCTCTCAAGACACCAAATGATCAGGTTTCCTCTGAGCGTCTCTGGAAACTGGTACCACTCCACACCACCATTACCTGGTCAGGGCTGCTCTGGTAAAGAAAGCTGAAGAGGTGCCCAATGGTGACCCACTCCTCCAAGTCCTCCTTCAGTGGCAGGGTGTGCAGCAGGGCAGCCAACACCTGAACACACAGATGCCTTGGTCCCACGTGTCCTGCCCCTTCCCTCTCTCAGCTTCCTAGCCCTGCGTAATGCCCCAATCCCTCACCTGGGGCTCTGGTTTCCTCGTGGGACTGGCTATCAGCAGGCGGGCGAGTGCCCCACAGATGTTGTCACGGACACGATCATGGCGCTCCCGTGCTAAGAGGGGCAACAGGAGCCCCAGGAGCTTGGGGAAGTGTCTGATCCACGGTCAAGGAATGGGTGCACACAGGCAGACCTCTCCCACCCCTGGGTTCTGTGGTGCAGGGAGGTACGCACGCACACACACACACATACACAAGCAAACTGCTCCCATCTCTGAGCTCCAGTGACAGCCCCTATCCAGCCCCATGTTGTCCCTTCCTGCAAACTGAGGATACTCCTGGGCAGGGCGCCCCCCATGCTCTGCCAGCACACCCAGTCCAAAGATAGCATTGCTCCGCACCTCAGGATCTGCCTCTCGGGCAGCGCTCAACAGCACAGGAAGCAGCCGAGACACAAACTGGGCTGATGCAGCACCCAAGCCCTGAATGGACTCTGCCAGTGTCCCAACCGCAAAAGACTTCTCTGCCACTGTACAGCCCTGTTTCTGGTGGGGGGAAGGTGGGTAAGGAATGCAAGTCAGCCTGGGACTGGGACACACATAGTGAGGCTGGGCACGGGAGTAGAATGGGGTTCAAAGTCAGCTGATGGAACACTCACTGTCTTGCATAGCAATAATGGCAAGAAGCCGACAAAGAAGGGGGCAAAGGCGTCTCCCCCAGCTGCAGCTGCCAGGGCGGGGATGGCCTCTCCGGCGTGCTCTAGCAACATGGCGTCATATTCTGCCTGTGGAGTCAGATCAGGGCCTAAGCTCCAGGGCCAGCTCCATGACTATGCACACCTCTTGACCATGTTCCACCGGTGACCACAGGTGGACCTCCAGGCTGTTGTCTATGGTTGACAGGGCCCAGCCCTCCCAGGCTGTGCTTTTCACATCCCAGCTTCTCCTGGCCATCCCACTCCCACCCATCACTCCAGGCCTGCCCAGGACCCCCACCTCCAAAAAGCCTTCTTCAGACGCCCAGTCCATGCTGCTTTCTTTCCCTGAACTCCCACTGGTTTAGTAGATCAGGGGAGTCATTCTAAGCCCTCACCCACGTCTTTTTAGCAGCTCTGACTCACCTAAGGCCAAGCCCAACTGCACTGTCCACCCTACCCCTGCAGAGACTAACCTGGCTGCCTGGTCCCCAGTTTTCACCTGTAGCTCTCACCTGGTCCTCCTCCTCCTCTGCCTCCTCATCAGTGTCCTGGCAGGCTGTCTGTGGGCAGAGGTAGCTCAGCTCAGCCCAACTCTCCTTCCATCACCTTTTCATGGGGGTAGGGGAACTGGACTTATAGCCTTGACTGCCCCCACCTGGGGCCAGGGCACCTCCTCTTCCTCAGCCCACCTGTCTGCTTACCTTCCTCTGCAGCACAGCCTTGAGCACACTGCAGAGCTCAGCAAGGCGCCCAGGGGGCTGCAGCACGATGGCCCCGCAGCTGTGCAGCACACCTGTCAGGGCCTCCAGCACGGCCATCACCACCTGGCGCTCCCGCTCCCCATTGACTGCCTGCACGTAAGTCGGCACCACCCGGGCCAGGGCAGCCTGCAGAGCTGAGGACAGTGTTGGCTGAAGCCCTGGCCAGCCCCTGCTCCACCTGACTTCAGAGCCCCCAGCCTGGCCCCAGCCTCTCGTTCTCACCAGCAGTGTTGGGTTCCGAGGGGCAGCTTTGGCAGACCTTGTGTAGCGCACAGCAGAACTGACCCAGGGCCTCATGTGCCGCTTTTCGCACATTCATGTGAGGGCACTGCAGGATGAGGGAGGTGGCAAGGCTTGCCTACTGCGTGCAGAGAGAACTCGGGGCTCAGCCCGTGGCCCCTACCCACCGCTACCAACTGGCCCACTCACCTCCAGCAGTTTGAATACTTCTTCAAAGACATTCTCCATGTAGGGAAGGAAGGCCACACTGTGGACAGACACATGGCCATGGGGAAGGGGCTCCTAAGTAAGCTCCTAAGGCCAGAAAAAGGGCAATGCTCACCTGGTATTCACAGCGATCTCCCCCAGAGCAGCACAGGTGTCTTCCTTCTCATCAAAGAAGGAGTTCTCCACGCTGTACCTACGAGTAAGGTGGGGAGGCAGTGGTCATCAAGTCCTTGTCCAAAATCACCATCTGGATTCTCTGACCAGAGTAGCCCGCCTCCGCACCCTGAGATCTCTGAGTCCTCCTCCTCTTCCACGTCCTCGTCCATGAGCTCCTCCTCCTCCCCATCACTCTCATCATCAAACAGAAGGAAGGAGCTGCTACCGTCGTACTGAGGCTGGATGCAGGAGGCATGGGACGGACTCAGGCTCAGCTGGGCTCAGGAGACAGGGCCCATCCCAGGCTGTCCCAGCTCAACCGCCCAGCCACCCACACCCCCTGCTCACCACAATGCCCTCAGTGGAGCGCAGTGACAACAGCATGAGTGTGGTGATTTGTGGCAGGTGGGGGGCCAGGGCCTCTCCCATCAGCTCTGATAAGGCTGCAAACAGGCTGTACCTGGTGGAGGCAGGTGAAAGCTGTGCAGTTGCTAGAGCCAGACAGACAGGATGGGGGTGCGCAGGGAAACCTGGCTATGGTCCAGAACCAGAGAAAGGGGGGGCTGGCTGTGGATCCAATGAGTGGGCATGTGGGGTGGCGTCAGGGGTCACTCACGTGCAGCGCCGCAAATCAGGATCGTCTACCTGGTCGCAAAGGCCCAGCCCCAGCTGGCAGCATTCCTCAGCCAGGGGCCTCATGGGCTCTCCCACTGCTCGTGCCAGCACCCCCAGTGTCTCTGTGGGCCAGGAACTTAGTTAACACTGGGGTGTACAGCTAAGCTGCAGGTAGGCAGGGCGAAGTCTGGGACCAAGAAATTCTAGCCTACTTCTAGATAGGGTGTGGAGAACTAGCATTTTCTATGAGAAAGAAGACCACTGTGCTGCCCTGGGGAGTGCTTTGTGAACATCAGGTGAGCATCCCCCTTCCCTGGCAATAAGATTCCATCTAGGAACCCTCACTCACCCAGGCTCTGGATCTGCACAGGCTGAAGGTCCTCATGACCTGTTAAGAGGAACTCCCGCAGGCACTCCATGATAGTAGGGAAGTAGGGCAGCAGGGAGGCCTGAGCCGCTGTGGCTGCAGGATGGAGATAGAATCAGGGTTGGAGGCATGGCTAAGACCACCTGCACACGCTCTCTGGGTGAACTCTGCACCCCTTGCCTCCTTCCTCACCAATGGCCCCCAAGGCGCTCACAGCCAGTTCCTTGGCCCGGGGGCTGCTGGGATTCCTCAGAGGCTGCAGCATACAATCCATAAGCTCCGGAAGGTAGGGCTGCACCTTGGGCCCTATGAGAAAGAGCGTCCTTCTCACAGCTGCACCTCTACAGGCTTATTCTTTTTTTTTTTTTTTTATTGTGATTTGGGTGAAGATTTACAGAGCAAATTCACTTTCCATATAGCAGTTCACATATACTTTGTCTCATGTCATTGACCACAGTTTACCACAATGCAACAGCTCCCCTCCCACTTCCTCCTCATAGTACCACTTCCCAGTCTCCATCCCTCCATACTCTCCTGCCCCCTGAGCTGTCTCCCTGTGCATAAGCAGCCCTTCCTTCTCCCTTGATTGTTCACTCCAGGGCATGTGTCTATTTGAGGTAAATGTTTAACTCACATGCCTTCTACAGGCTTATTCTGTTGTGGTCCCTGTCATATCCGTCCTCCTATGCCCAATACAGGCAGTGATTTGGAAATAGGCCCAGCCTGCCCCTTTTCAGCCAAAGGTACAATAGTCTCCCCATATTTCCATTTTCATCACTACCTAAGCTTTCCACAAAATTTTCCAGAGCATAGCAGGCCTTGGCTAGATGGTGTGTGCACCCAGGTGGCACCGACTTCAAGTATGCAAGGAGCAGCGGCATCACCTCCCCTGAGTAGCTGCTGATGTGGGGCTAGGGGAAGGAGAAAGGGAGGCCTGAGTCAGGATCAACCGTAGGGTACATACTTGAGTGCCAAGCCAGGAAGGATGCTTAGAAAGGAGATGAAAGCTGAGGGTAGCTGGGGATGGTCCCAGGGCTGGGTGGGGGTGGGGACTGAGGTGGCCTCTGCTCACATTGAGCCTGGCTGACCTGCAGGTTCTCTGAAAACTGGCCCAGGGCAAACAGTGCAGCATTGCGCACAACTTGGGATGGGTCCTCCAGGCCCTTGCACACGATCTGCAGCAGTGGGGACAGCAGTCTGCATGGGGGCAGGACAAGAAGATGGAATATGAGAAGGCAGGACCTGAGAGTCTCAGGCTGGCCTATTCACCTTGTTTTCCATGGGAAAACCAAAGCTTCCTCAGTCACCAAATGGTGGGCACCAACCCCTGGTCCCTATAGCATGGATGACAATCAAAAATATTTTCTAAACCAGAACATGTTTCAGAACAGAGAGAAATACTATTAATGATTAAGCTGCAACAAGCATAAACCAAGGCTGCCCTGGGATGTGTGGTCCTCCTCCCAACGCCCACCCCTACGCAGATGGCAGAATACCCACCTTTGCCTGATGTGGTCGCCAGCTCCATCAGACAGCACAGCCAGTACCAGAAGCCCCGCCTTGCGCTGGTATGGGTTCTCACTGTGCAAGGCCTCTTCCAGCATGGGCATCTAAGGAGGCACATGGCACTCTCCTGAAACCCAGCAAGAACCTACCCATTGCTAGCTCTTCACAGCTACCAGGCCAAAAACATCCTCAGCCTTGAGAGCCAAGGCATACCTGCAGATATGGATGCCAGAAAGCAGAGCCACACTTACCAGCTGGGAGCAGAGCTTCTCGGGGGGCAGGTGTAATGCCAGCATGTCCACGACCTGAGAAAGGATGGGGAGATTTTTCTGAAATCTCTATCTGCCTCCCCAACTCCCCATAGCAATCTAATGCCCCAGACCCCAGCCCGATCCTATGTCCCACCTGTACAGCTAAGTGCTTGGGAGTCTCTCCCACCAGGCCAATCTCTAATTCTTCTTCTTCTGAATCCTGGTCCTCGGGATCCAACTGGCCCATGGGGGGCTCAGCAGCCATAATTGGGAAAAGAGTATGCAGCAAGGGTGGCAGCAGACGATTCTTCAGTAAAGCCTTAAGTGGGAAGTCAGGAGAGTAACCCTAAAAATCAGCTCTCAAGATGGGCACACATTAAAAAAAAAATCTAGTCTTTCAGGCCACAAGAGGCCCTGTAAGAGATTCACAATATCCCAGCTAGAGCCAGGGTGAGGCCAAGCCAAAGCTTAAACGTCTTAGCCATGGTACTCTGGATATCCTGAGGTGAATAGAAAGCCCCAGAAGTGAGGCTAAGAGTGGAGAAAGGAGTAAGGTAATGTAAGTCAAAGAGCACTTACCTTGCTTTTGACTTTGACCAAGAAGGTGAGGCAGCAGAGAACACGCACACGTATTGCATCGCCCAGAGCCACATTTCCAGCCACCTGCTCAGAGACTAAGAATCAGAGATAGGCAGGCAAACTCCTAGCAGAATATGCAGCAGGGGCACACCCACCCCAGTCTCACCGCCAGGCAGAATGTGAGGACCTCAGAGAAATAAGGGGTGATGATGGGCTCCTCTGACTCCAGTAGCTCATCTAGGGCCTCCAGGGCTTCACAAGCCTTTGCCTGACAGACAGACAAAGCAAGTAGTAAGATCACCATGCTTTTGGACCAGGCTGGGTACTCCTCATTCTCCTTCTAAGAGCGCCAGCCAACTGTCCTCACCTCATCTATGGGGATCAGAGTCTGCACACCTACAATGAGCTTGGGCACCAACATCCGTGCGAGAGGCTGGAAAACACAGGATGAAGTGAATCACAGAAACCATGGTGCAGACTAATCTCTGGCCCCAGAAGCTGGCAGCTTCCTTACGGCATGGACTCTTGAGAAGGAGCCCAGGCACACCAGCAAGGCCCAACCACCACAAGCCCTTCTCTTAGCAGCCAAGAAGGACAGAAGGCAGGGAAAGAACTCAAAGCAGTTCTGCAGATACAACAGTGAGGGCGTGACAAGAATGGGCAGCAGGGAAAGTGAGGGCCCACATCTTACCACATCATTAGAGCCGAGGTAAGGGGCCATGGTAGTCAGAGTGCGTAGGGAGTAGAAGAGCAGCCCGGGAGAGCCTACCACACCAAGGGTCTCATTCAGAAGGCGAAGAAGCTCCCGGTGGTGGGGCTGGAAAGCTTCAGGCTGGGAGGTTACCACCACACTCAGCAACAAAAGCCCCATCTGTCCAGGAGTAGGAGATGGAAGGAAAAAACTTACATGGTTTATCTAGCTTTCAGCACCTCCCTCCCACCAACTGTGCAATGGTACCTCTCTCTCTGGGATGTGAGGGCTATGGGTACTGTGCTGAAGAAACTGCATGAGCTGAGGCCAGGCCTCCAGGCCTTCCTTCCGAAAAATGGTAGCTGTGAGCTGGGCCAGGCTGAGGCTCACAGAGTGCCTGCAAATAGGAGTGATCCCCCCATCACCCTCCAATACCCTGCCATACACATGCTAACCCAGTTTCGAGGGGGCAGCCAGGAGAGAAACCCTTCAGGAGGTGTGGACACAAGGTCTTTGCTGAGTTGGGACACATGAGACAGTGGTTTGAAGAGAACCGAGGAGCTCTGGGGGTTATGTAATCTGGTGAGTTCAGTCTCAGAATGAATTTTCATCCCATTCTTCTGACTCTGGTTTGGAAGATCATCATAGTTCATTCTCAAGTCTTCAACACAGTTTTGGAATCTTCACTCCACCCTCGGTCAAGAACTGAAGTCTTTGCCCCCCAAATCCCAGCTTGAAGCTGAAAGAGAAGGCAGAAACCCAGAGAGGGTCTCAGCCTGGAGTCAGTTAGGATCAAGAAAGGAAGCAGGTAGGTACTCACTCTGTCTCTCTCTGCAGGGACGTGAGGACCAGGGACTTGAGGCTACAACACAAGTGACAGGTGTTCAGTACAGGCCTGCCCAATAGTCAAAATCAGCCCGGCCCCGCCCCTCCACAGGCCCAGCCCACCTCTCCCGAGGCTCCGCCGCCAACCGCCGCCAGCGGGTGCTCAGTCGTCTGCGGATCAGCACTGCCGCAAACTGGCGGATCTAGGACGAGGAAGCCGGCGTGAGAGTCCGGGCAGGAAGGTGCAGGGGGCGAGCTGGGGTCTGACCAGTGGCATACTGTGTGAGGCTCAGCGGAAAGGGGTAGGGGGTCTCACCTGGGGGTCGGCCGCCGAGGCCAGCAGGTCGCAGAGCGCCGGCAGGGCGGCAGGGTCCCGAAGTGCGATCTGGAGCTGCTCAGTGGCCTGGGGGAAGGCTGGGGGTCAGAGTCGGGCCTTTCCTGCCACCTCCCGCTCGCCCGGGCCTGGGCCCGTTTGCCTCATACCCGGCGGATGCGCTCGGTGTCTGGCAGTAGTAGCTCCCGTAGGAGCTGCTCAAGGCCGGTGGGCTCCATGGTAGCAGTGGGGCCGCCGCTACTGGGCCGGGAGGGGGGAGGAACAGCACGTGGAGGCTGACCTCCACTTCCGGCGGAAAAGGCGTTGCTCCGCACTCCTCCCGTCGCCTGGGTGATTCAACGTACTTCCTACAAAGTGCTCCGGCTCCGCAACTTCCTTTAGGTCGGTAGCCCCGCTGAGGCGCGGAAACAGGACCCTGGCAATTGGGTTCCCCAGCGGATAGTGCCCAGGCCCCGTTGGAGACTTCTAGTTTCCTGAATTCCGAGACTGACCCAGTTTTCCAGGAGAACTTGCCCTCACGAGCGTGACTCGAGTGCCTATATCCAGACCAAACCCTCCAACTACAAGATCCTTTTTCTTAATAAACTTTATTTTGATATTTGTAAAAAGAAAAATTGGGACCAAAACGAAAGGCAACTTAAAAAGTCCAAATATATACTCCTCATATAATAGAGATTTATAATTTCCAGGTTCTCTCTGGAGAAGGGAGCACCAGAGAACAACAATGCCATAACACAATTCAGTCACTCAAGAGAAGGTGGTAGCAGACATCAATGGGGCAAAAAGAAAGGGCTTAAGAAAGACCAGTCGTTCTACCACTCAGAACTCAGTCCATTTTGAGATTAATATAGATATAACGGATGAACTTTAGGGAAGAAAAAAAAGAGATGGTGCCCAGCATGAGGAAAAAGACATAACCAGTGAGTAAGGAATAGCCAAAAAACTCTACTGTCTGTACTGCCCCTGACATGTTGGAGCGCCGGGCATAGTAGAAAACTGAATAGAGAAAGATGAAAAGTCCGGTGGAGCCAACGCTCAGCACAGATCGCCACCACCAGCGATAATCCTCCCCAGACAACTGGAAGTAGGTGAGTGCAATGGAGATGCAAGCCCCCACACTCAGCAGGATAGCGAAGACAAAGAAGAGGATGCCATACAGCGTATACTGCTCCCGACCCCACACTGTGGCAAAGATGTAGTACAACTCCACAGAGATGGCACTGTAGAGAAAAGAAATGATATACCACATTAAAGGGCTGTGCACTGCCAACAAGTGGTGGCCAAATCCAGTCCCACCCTCCCATGTTGCTGGGACACTGTGAAAAATGTTCTACTCCTTGCCCCTAATTTCCTGGCTTCTTAGGGGATTCTTTTGCTTATGATTACTTGCTCTCATTTCAAGGATGTGAGATAGGTTGAGAGTAGGGATCTCGTCTGTCTGATTTTCTACTGTATTATCTGCCTGATACAAAGAGGTACCAGCAAATTGGATAAACAATGAATAATGGGTTTTAAACCCCACATGGTATTTGTAGACACTGAGAAACCAGGAAGATGCTGACGGGAGCATTGTCTCTGGAGAGCTTTAAAAGTGAGCTACCCATATAACTGATTCAAGCTCAGTCCTACTTGGGGACAGAAGGAACCATGTAATGACCTCTTAACGTTACAATGAGCCAGACATTATTACTGAACTGGGTTAGGGTAAACGGTGGGGAAAGGAAAAGTCAAGGTCAGGGGGTGTGAAAGTGATGCTTATAGAATAAAGAGAGAATACCTGAAAGGCAAGAAGCCTCCAACAGTCATGTGGATGAGAGTAGACTTGTACCAGGGCTGAGGTGGGATCTCTCGGGCAATGTTCTTGGTGCGACAAGGTGCATCAAAGGGGCTAGCGTTGTTCTTCCCGAAGATTCCTCCAATGACTGTGAGGGGAAAGCCCACCAGCAGCCAAACCGTCAGAAGCAGCAGGATGGTGGTGGCTGGCAGCGCCTGTGTCGAACCATTGGCCCAATGCACCGAGTTCACCACACTCCATGTCAGGAAGAAAGGCACTGCAGGGATGTGTCCCCAGAGCAAGGGTGAGCACTAGGAGCTACCTCCCTGGGGGCACCCACTCAGCTTATACTTAAGGGGACAGGGGTGAAGCAACCAACCACTCTAATGGCAGACCTGTGTGTACTCTTGGATATCCACGTGGAGCCCTAACCTGCATCCACCCGTGTCCCACTGTTCCTACCCAGTGTCATTAACAAGGACTGAGGTAGCTTCTACATAATGATCTAAGAGTGACACAAAACCCACCTGCCTCCAGGGGCCTGTAATTTCTAGCATGAGACAATCCTTTGGACTAAGGCCCTCTTTTCAGAAAATCCTGGCTCCCGTATAAATGTGATATGATATAAATCAGACACTTGGGATTGAGAACAAGGAAGGTTCTGAATGCAGGTTACTACTGTCTTTGAAAGGGCAAGCTGATTAGAAATGCTGCGGTGGAGTTATTCTCCTCCAAAATAAAAAAAGGAGGGGGAGTATCAATAAATTCAAGGGAGTTATTTTAGTCTAGTGGTTGAGAATATAAGCTTTGGAGTAAATTGCCTGGGTCTGCAACTTGGTTAACTACTTTTTAGGAGTATAATCTTGGGCAAGTTACTTAACCAGCTGGAAGTTCAATTTTTTCAACTGTAAAATAGGAACAATGTTACCTACTTCATACAGTTACTGTGATAAAGGAAATGTAGAGGAATTAGTATAATGCCTAGTCATTTTAAGGGTTTAATAATTTTTAACTGCTCAAAACAATATATACAGCCTTGTCTTTTGGACAGTTTTTCTTATTCTGTTTCTTTTGCCTATCTTTATTCTCTTAAAGCCGCACTCTGATTCTATCTCGGTTTCCATGATGGGCTCCAACTTCCTAAATCCAAGCTGGCCCACCAGGGAGAAAGGGAAGTCCTCACCAGAGAAGAGACTGGTGGTGAGAATGATGTTCCACACCCAACGCTCGCCTCCAATCTGCCGGTAGAAGTGGCTGGACACGTAACCGGAGATGCAGCAGGTCAGGGCATACAACAAGATGGCTGCTGAGTTAATGGCCCCATGACGGTGCACGTTGAACATGCCCAGTAGTGCCATGACAATAATGCCTGCAGGGTGGTAGTGGAAAGCCTCTGTTAGGTCTCACCTATCCCTCTTCTAGAATAGAGGACTCAGCCTCCTTTCTTCCAGACCCAGGGTTTCCAGCAAAATAATCTCCCCTAAACTCTTCTCCAGAAAATCCACAATTACATACATTCTCACTAGAGCCATTCTATTCCTCAGGTCTGCCCGTCATCTTGGGTAGAAGAGAAGATCCACAGGCCTTTTTGAACAAGCTACCCATCTAGTTCTACCCCTTGAGAGAAATCCCTAGTTAATTTGTATCACCTCACCAGTGCCAAGGGCCAGGAACTGGGCTCCCACGCCAAGCACAGCACAGAGCAGGCCACGGTATGGAGGGAAGCGGAAGACATCTGTATGGATAATTTTCCAGCCATTGTCACCCTGGTCAAAGTCCTCACCAGAGCCTCCAGAGGTCTCCTCATCCAAGTTGTACCGAGCCAGGTCATTACGAAGAACACGCATGAGAATGACAGCCACAAAACCCACCAGTAAAAAAACAAGCACCATGGAGTTGATGATGGACAACCAGTGGATTTCCAATGTTCGAGGAAAGAAACCACCATCATCACCACGGCGCCTGTCACTCCGATGTTCCACTGAAGTCTCAGACCAGTGCACACTATAAGTATGGGTAAGGCCTAGGAACTCATCAGGTCTCAACCCATCCAAGCTGTGGGGCTTCACATCTCGCACTGAGACATTCGCAAATATAATTCGATCCCTGTGGAATTCTAGGTGGAAGTCCAAATGGGTCCAGAGTCCTATCTTGTGGCTGTGTGGCAGGAACCCACTCTCCTCCATGTAGCCCACAAAGCCACGGATTGGCAAGTCGTCTACCACAAATTCAAAGTAGTACAGTTCCTCAATGGCCTGGCGCAACTGTTCTACCTACAAAGAACAAGTTAAGAGTCAGTCAGACAGGCCTCCTCAGGGATAGGGTTAGAAGAGGTTTATCAACCTTGATACTGATGACATTTTGGGCCAGATATATCTCTGTTGTGTGGGGTGTCCTGTGCATTGTAGGATGCAGCACCCTAGCCTCTTCCCACAAGATGCTAGTAGCACCCTCCAGTGTAACAATCAAAGATGCCTTTGTTGTTGTTGTTAATGTGCCGTCGAGTCAGCTCTGACTCATAGCGACCCCTCCTTGGGTTTTCAAGGCAGTATCACTACAGAAGTAGATTGCCCAACCTTCCTTCCGAGGAGTGGCTGGTGGGTTTGAACCGCCAGCCTTCTGGTTAGCAGTCAAGTGCCTTAGCCACTATGCTACCAGAGCTCCCAAAGATGCCTTTAGACATGGCTAAATATCCTTTAGGGGACAAAATTGTCCCCTTTGAAAACCAATGGATTAAGCCTTATCATCTCATACCTGGTCCAGTGTGTTGGAATTCTCCAAAAAGAGCAAGAGGGGGCAAAGTGTAAGAAGGTCTGGAGTGAATTAAGGAAAACGGGCTTAAAATAAGATTTGTTCAAGAAAAAAATCCATTGCCATTGAGTCGATTCTGACTCATAGCGAGCTCCCTTGGGTTTCCAAGGCGGTAAATCTTTACAGAAGTAGATTACTCCATCTTCCTTCCACAGAATGGCTGGTGAGTTTGAACCATCAACTTTCCGGTTAGCAGTCAGATGCCTTAGGCACTATGCCACCAGAGCTCCTTTTGTTAAAGAAAAAGCATGGTAAAACCCACTGCCATCAAGTCAATTGTGACTCATAGCCTGTAGAACAGAGTAGAGCTGCCTCATAGGGTTTCCAAGGCTGTAAATCTTTACAAAAGCAAACTGCCTCATTGTTCTGCAGAGTAGCTGCTGGGTTCAAAGCATCAACCTTTTGGTTAGCAGCCAAATGTTTCAACCACTGTGCCATCAGAGCTTAAAGAAAAAGCCGGGAGAGGACGGTTAAGTACAGAGGAAAAGCAAGTCAAAAAACTGTCAAGGGTTGGGTATGGATAGTTGGAACCTTGTTAACAACAGAGAATCTTGGAGTCAGTAGTCCTGGACTCTAATATCAGCTCTGCAGTTCACTATCCACGTAATCTTGAAAAGTCACTTCTAAGTTCCCACAGTTCAGTTTGTCAATAGAACCTGCCCTGCCTGCCACACTCAAAGTTGTAGTTACAATCAAGTCAGCTAATTAACATAAAGGTAATCTTAAAACCATAAATGTACTCTGAAAACCTGTATAAAACACTGTTATTAGTCCCTTGGGTGACATCCACGTGGGCAGGCTGACCTGTGCAGAAGTGAGCTGCATGTGACACAGAATTCGCTTCTCCACATTCTCCCGAAAGCGGATATCGTACAAAGACTCGGCCATGCGATCCCCATCCAACACTTCACCCAGGCTAAGGCTTTTGTGACGTATCTTCTCTGGGCAGCAGACTGGAAGCTGATAGTAGTGGTAAGTCTCCTGGGGGTTATGGTAGGGTCCCACTTTGTTGACATAAAGGATGACGGGGTCGCCAGTCTTGTAGTGTGTTACACCTTCTACCCCTGGCCCATGGCTTGTCCCCAGCAGCAGCAGCACTGCCAACCACTGACAGCTCCAACTTCCAGGGTGCTCTAGGATTGTCATTCTTAAGGCAGCGGGACCTGTTGGGGGGAATCCTGCGGTTATGGAAATCAGGAAGAATCAACTCATGACCATCCAAGTCAGGTTTATCGAATTGACACCTAGTGGCTTCACTTCCTCCCACTGTCCTCCGCAGCCTTCCCTCCGGAGGCAACATCCCGACACCCACACCACATCTACTCTTCATGGTCTCCGTTCGGTTATCCGTCTTTCTGCCGCCCACCCGCGGGGGGCCTCGACCGCGACCCCAGCCCGTTCCCATGGCAACGCCACGCAGCCTCGCGCCTCAGGTCCCTGCCCGCCACAGCCCCGGGGTCCTCACCGCGCGGGAAGGGCTGGCCGAGGCGGCGCCGGCAGCCTTTGCGGCCCCGTAGCTGCCCTTGGGCTCCTGCCGGGGTCTCCCTGAGAGCGGCGCGGTAGCGGCGGGTTGGAGAGGACCTGAAGACCGACCTCCACGGGGTTGCCTGCTGCTGCGCCTGATGGCATCGGCTGCGGCCACCCCGCACAACACACCGCCCTGGGCTCGGCCAAGTGCTCTTCGATGAAACTTTCTACAGTCAGAGGCCTGGTCCAGCTCCGGGGACCAACAAGCCTCGGCCAGTACGGCCCCGGAGAGGAGTCCTCCCGGCGCTCAGGAGAACAGCCCAAGACACGTCAGTCTTACCACTTCCGCCCTCTTCGGCGGGGGCCTCAACCGGGTGGAAAGCTGTCTTGGAACCTGGTTGGGACCTCGCCTCCGCGCTGCGGCTGCTTCGACACTTCGCTGTGGGTGTCCGGGGGGAGGGCTGCAACCGAGGCCTGGCTGCGAGGACGCCGACGTTTCTTCGGGAAGAGTCACCACCCGGCCGCCAGGGTCTGTGCGTACGCTTCTAGCATAAAAGCGGTGCCCGCCGCCCACGCCCACTAACAGCCTGGTCGACGGAGAACCTAGTGGATGCCGCGAAGCGTCTGGTGTCTAAACCTATGTGTCTTGCCACTGGCTGCTCAGGCCGAACCCTGAGAGGTGTTTCATGGCCTTCAACCCAGGCAGGGATGACTTCGGGGCGTTGCTGTATAAGAAACCTTGAGCCTGAGCCTCACCGCACATCCTCCCACCCGTCATGTTTGTCCTCAGGCAAAAAATAAATATGCAAAAGTATTTTCCAGAAGTTATATAGGAGGTCTCCTGTTCTTTACAGAGACCGTTCCGTTCCCCACTCTAAGCGAGACCGATCCTGCTACGGTGCTGGGGAACCCAGAGGTAGGGTTTCTGCCCTGTTAATCCCTTGAGTTGGTCAGCCTGAAAGGGTAATTGCAAAGTGGAAGTAAAGAATCTTGACGTCCATTTGACTCTTCAGTGCTTTTGTTCTTATTTATAAATGAGTATGTGCTTAGGCTTCTCAGTTTTGTACTGCAGATTACTTCAAATATTTATCTTTGTCTCAACGAATTTAAAAGAGATCTGCCATCATGGAAGGAGTTAGTCAGATCAGTCCCTGAGGCGAGACTCGCCTGTGGTCACGTGGGAGCAATGTGTAAGGAAGCCAATTTAGTTTTCTCTTTCCCCAAAGGGAGGAGCCCTGGTGGTGCAGTGGTTAAACGCTCAACTTCGAACCAAAAGGTGTGTGAGAACCCACCAGCTGTTCCATAGGAGCTTCTGGAAAGCTTGGAAACCTTATGGGGCAGTTCTCCTTTGCCCTATAGGGTCACTATGAGTGGGAATTGACTTGATGGCAAAGGGTTTGGTTTTGGTTTTCTCCCCAAGGGAAGAAAAACACAGGTGGCTTCTGCCCTAAAAAGTCATTCATTTTACACACTTCTATGATTTCTGCCCTTTCTGACCCAGACATAGGTGAGGTATTAGGAAGTTGGGGCTTGAGTTTTTTAGACAGTCAATGAATTTTGCAATTAGGAAGGTAACTTAGAGGGGCTTTGGAATCATCTTTGACAACCACCTGGTCCCGAAAGCCAGAAACCTGGGCCTTTTTCTCAGCACTTACCCCTTACCAGGAGCTCTGGTGGCACAATGCCTAAGGCATTTGACTGCCAACCAGAAGGTTAGTGGTTCACACTCACCAGCTGATTTGAGGCAGCAAAGATTTACTGCCTTGTAAACCAAGTGGGGGTGACTGAGTTGGAATCAACATGATGGCATTTGGGGTTTTTTTTTGGTTCAGGCCCCATTCTTTCTCACCTAAATTACTGTTGACAGCTACCTTGATCAATCATCTAGTCACTTCTCCCTTGAGTCCATTTTGCATACTGCTGCTGGAAGGACTGATTGATTGTTGATTTATTTTAATCTTTTTTTTTTTTTTAATTGTGATTTGGGTGAAGATTTACAGAGCAAATTCACTTTCCATACAGCAGTTCACATACACTTTGTCTCATGTCATTGACCACAGTTTACCACAATGCAACAGCTGCCCTCCCACTTCCTCCCCATAGTTACCTCTTCCCAGTGTCCATCCGATTTATTTTAATCTTAAAGTTTTTTTCATTACCTGCAACAGATCTCAAACTGTAGTAGTCATCAGATTCAGCTTGAAGTTTATTTAAAACAAAAATTTCTAGGTTCTACCAAGTTAGAATCTCAGGAGAGGGCATGCTTGGGCATCAGGTTTTTGTTTTGTTTTTTAACAAGCTCTGATTTTGAGAAACACAAAGAGTTAAGAACACATATATAGCATAAAGTCAAAATAGTTTGGTGTATGAAGCTTCTCAGATGGGGATCCTAATTACTTCTCTCGATACATTCCCCTTCTAGAATCCTGTTTCATATTCTAATAGAAATCTTGAAGTTCCCAGAATGTTCTCTCAAGCCAGAAAGCCTCATATTGTTCCTTCTGCTCAGATTACCCAATCTTCCATTCCCTACTTACCTGCCTGGAGAATGCCGCCTTTTTTTTTTTTAAATTGTGATTTGGGTGAAAGTTTACAAAGCAAATTCATTTTCCATACAGCAGTTCACATACACTTTGTCTCATGACATATGACTGCAATTTTCCAGAATGCAATAGTTCTTCCCACTTTCTCCTCATAGGTACCTCTTCCCTGTGTCCTTCCCATGCACTCCTGACCCCTGAGCTGTCTCCCTGGGCATACGCAACCCTTCTATTCTCCCATAGTTGATCTCTCCATGTAGTTTATCTACCTAATGTAAATGTTCAGCTCATATGGCTGTCTTGTTTGGCTGGAAGCCACAGGAGTGGGTTTAATTCCAGACCTGAAGGGCAGCTAGGGGCCATAGTCTCAGGGGTTCCACAGGCTGTATCAGATCAGCAACTCTGGTCCCGTTTTATTTTATGATTTTGAGTTTTGTTCCATATTGTTCTCCCAGTCTGTCCAGGATCTCCTACATAGATCCCCTTCCGAGTGTTTGACAGTGGTAGTCAGGCACCATCTAGTTCTTCTGGTCTCATGGTCATATAGGCTGAGGATCACATGGTCTACCAGTCTCGTGGACTAATTGCTTCCATGCGTCTTTGGTTTTCTTCATTCTTCTTTGATCTGGACTAGGAGAGACCCATCATTGCATCTAGATGGCTGCTTACAAGTTTCTGAGACCCCAATCACTACTCAACCAAAACAGGATGTGCAACAGTGGTTTTGTGTAGTATGTTATGGCAATTGAGCTTGATGTTCCCTGCAACTACAGTCCCATGCCCACGGGTTCATCTACTCGCTTCCTCCAGGTAGCTGGCTGCGGCCAAGAAATGACTACAACCTTGCCCCTTGTCAGCTCTACTATATACCTGGAAATTCTTACAGAACATACAAATACACTTGCAGAAACATTGTCTGCCAACCCCATACATGGTCATGGGCACACTCCCCCCTGCATAGACGTACCTTACTGTTCAGTCTGTCCACCAATCTATCCACCCGTATATCAATGTTTGCCATCATTGACAACACAGTACTGTATGTGCAAAAGGTATCATCTTTGTTGTTTGTACCTCCCATGCGCCTCTGTCTTCCTCTTGAGAATGCCTTCTTTTTAACAGTACAAATACCACCTTCTCAATGAAGCTTTCCTTGTAGTTTTGTTTATAGTCCTTTGCCTCAAAGTATTACCTTACCTGTCTCCCTTTCTGTGTTATTTAGTACTGCTATGACAGAAATACCACAAGTGAATGTGTTTAACCAACAAATTTATTTTCTAAGTTTAGGAGGCTGTTTGAATTCAGGGTGCCAGTTGTAGGGGAGGGCTCCAGAGCAGCCTCTGCTGGCTGTGGAGGAAGGTCCTTGTCTTTTCTGAGCTTCTACTCCTGGGCAATCTTCATTCCCTCTTTCCCCTCTTTGCTAATTTGTGTTTAATCTCTTTTATATCTCAAGAGAGACTGACTGAAGATATACCCCATACTAATCCTGCCTCATTAACGTAACAAAGACAACTCATACCCAAGTGGGATTATAACCATAGGTATAGAGGTTAGGATTTACAACACACATTTTCAGGAAACAATTCAATATATAACACTTGCTTACTAACTCCTCATAAAACCAAAAAACCAAACTCACTGCCATCAATTCTGACTCATAGCGACCCCCTTTGGGTTTCTGAGGTGGTAAATCTTTATGGAAGTAGATTGCCCAGTCTTTCTTCCATGGAGTGGCTGGTTCACAGTCAGAGGTCTTAGGCACTACACCACCAGAGCCCCTCAGCACCTCACAGGGAGACTGTAATTTATCCATCCTGTATTTTCAGGACCTAGCAGTGTTTTATATATAGTAGACACTTAACACATGTCCTCGAATGAGCTAGTTTTAGACATACACATCTCATACCTCTCTCACACACACACACACACACAGAATAGAGTTGCTATCAAAGTACCTATCTACAAGAAGGCTCAGCTTTTGGGAGCAGAAACTGGGTAGAACTGACTGGGCCTCCTTACCATGATGTGCCCTGGACAACTGCCCATCTTGCTAGTTTAAGAATGTAGATCTGGTTTCCAATATTAGGACTTTAGAACCATACTGCGAGTAAATGGGAAATTCTAGTAGCCTGTTGTATAAGAATAATCTATTCTTGGAGTTTTTGTTTTATTTTGGGGGCAGATAATGGTAGATGAATTTGAATTATGGTACTGGCTGCCAGGAGAACAAAAAAATCTGTCTTGGAAGAAGTACAGCCAGAATGCTCCTTAGAAGCAAGGATGGTGAGACTTTTTCTCATCTACTTGGAAATGTTATCAGGAGGAACCATTTCCTGAAGAAGAATGTCATGCTTGGTAAAATAGAAGGTCAACTAAAAGGAGGAAGACCCTCAATGAGAGGATTGACAAAGTGACTCCAATGATGGGCTTAGACATGACAACGATTGTGGAGAAGTCACAGGATTGGACAGTGTTTACTCTGTTGTATATAGGGTTGCTGTGAGTCAAAACTGATTTGATGGCACCTACCGTCAATGGAAGAAGCTGTGGTAACACAGTGGTTAAGGCATATGGTTGCTAACCAAAAGGTCAGTAGTTTGAACTCAGCAGCTGCTCTGTGGAAGAAAGATGAGGCAGTTGCTTCCATTAAAGATTACAGCCTAATGAGCAGTTCTACTTTGGCATGCAGGGTTGCTATGAGTTGAAATCGACTTGGTGGCAGTGGGTTTTGTTTTATTTTGGAACAACAATGGTGGATGGGAATATAAGAGTTGGATTTTTCCCTTGTTCTTTTCTCTGTACACACACACACACATACACACACAAACACTTAATCCAAAGAATTCCTCTCTGACCCCAACTTCCTGTCCTTCTCATTCTCATTCCTAACAAACATACTCCATTTCACTGAGACCTGCAGGCCCTCCTCCCCTTGGCCTTTTTTCCAGCTTGTCTCATCTACGTAGTGTAAATTCCACATTCCATCATTTCAACCATGTCTTTGCCTGTGTTCTTGATGCCTGTCTTCCATTGTTCTTTCACTGAAGCTGCCAAGCAGAATATTGGGTCAATTCAACTGTCAATATTCAAGAACCTATAATCCAGGTGCTGAAAGAATCACAATACTATGATGGTATGTATAAGTTGTTTCCTCCAATCTCAAGGGTCCTCAATGCTGCCCAATAATCTTTTTAGCTTCCTTCCATTCACGCCAACTTCACAACCTCTGATTCTATCTCCTGGTAGTTGACCTCCCTTTATAGCCTAGTAGGATATGCATTCAAGAAAAGCAATTACAGACTATGTTAGGTGATGTAACAGAAAATATTGGGACTGTGGCAACACCCAGGAAGGAAGAACATCTAACTAGGGCTTGAGCAGTCAATAAAGGCTTCTTTGAAACAGCTGCTAAGCTAAGTCTGAAAGTTGAGTAGGAGTTTGCCAGAAACTAAAAAGGGAACAAAGAAGGAAAAGTAATTCAGTTTGGCTGAAATAATGTGTGTGTGTGTGTGTGTGTGTGTGTGTGTGAAAAGATTAAACTGGGGAGGTAAGCAGGGTCAGATCCTAAAGCCATACGAAAAAAAATTGGACTTGACCCTGAGAATGGCGAGACAACTGAATTGTTTTCTATGGCAATAAAATCAGGTTTACCTTTTAGACTTCAGCAAGAATAGACTGGAAGGGAGCAGAAGGCTTGCTGGGGCATTTAGGAAAAAATGATGAAAGCTTGAACTAAGGTAGTGATGGTGGACTTGTAGAGCCATTAATGTATTATTAAAGAGATAAAAGGAAATAAAAGAGGTTATTATTACTGTGATTTGGGTGAAAGTTTACAGTGTAAATTTATTTTCCATACAGCAGTTCATACACATTTTGTTTCATGACATTGACTCCAATTCCTCACAATGTAAGAGCTCTCTTCCCACTTCCTCTTCCCTGTGTCCTTCCTTCCTATGCACTCCCCGGCCCCCCCAACTATCTCCCTGTGCCAACACTGCCTTTCTGTTCTCCCACAATTGATGGATTGATTGCTCCAAGGAGTATATCTACCTGATGTAAATGTTCACCCCATATGCCTGTCTGTTGGTTGTCTGGAAGTCACAGAATTGAGTTCAGTTCCAGACCTGAAGGGTAGCTAGGGGCCATAGTCTTAGGGGTCTCACCAGGCTCTTATCAGACCAGCAAACATAGACTTTCTTTTTTCCCCATGATTTTGATTTTTTTTTTGTTCCACATTATTCTCCCACTCTATCCAATGATCTCCTGCACTGATCCACTTCTGAGTGGTTATCAGTGGTAGCCAGATACCATCTAGTTCTTCTGGTCTCATGGTCATGTATGCTGAGGGTCACATGGTCTACTAGTCCCTTGGACTAATTGTTTCCATGTGTCTTCGGTTTTCTTCATTATTCTTTGCTGTGGATGAGAAGAGACCCATTGTTGTATCTACTTGCAAGCTTTTAAGATCCTAGTCACTTCTTACCAAAGATGTAGAACAATGTTTTTGTGTAGTATGTTATGCCAATTGAGCTTGATGTCCCCTGCGACTACAGTCTTGAGCTCACAGATCTAACTATTCATTCCCTCAGGGTAGCTGGCTCTGACCAAGACGCCACCACAATCTTTCCCCTTGTCAGCTCTACTATACACCGAGACATTCTTACAGCATGTGCAAATACGCATGTAGAAACATTATCTCCCAACCCTATTCATGGTCATGGGCACACTCCCCCATGCCGAGACATATATGATCATTCAGCCTGGAAGAGACAGATTTTGATGACAGATTGGATGTGGAGACTGTGGCAAAGAGAAGGGTCTGACATGACACTCCAGTGTCTAAATTGAAGACAATTAGTACAGAATTTACAGAAAGGGAAGTCTAGGGGAAGAAAAGGAGTTCAATATTGGACAGAGTGAATTTAAGGTACCTGGGAGAGATATGATGGAGCTCTGGTGGTATAGTGGGTAGGGCAGTTGACTGCTAACCAGAAGGTCAGCAGTTCAAACCCACAGCTGCTCCGTGGGAGGATAATGAGGCAATCTACTTCCGTAAGGATTTATAGCCTTGGAAACCAAATGTGGGTTGCTACAAGTCAAAATCAACTTGAAAGTGTTGAGTTTCGTTTTGGGTTTTTGGGAGAGAGATGAGGCGCTCTGGTGGCACAGTGGTTAAAGCATTTGGCTGCCAACCAGAAGGTTGGTGGTTCAAACCCACAAGTTGTTCCACGGAAGAAAGATGAGGCAGTGTGCTTCCATAAAGATTTACATCCTTGGAAACCCTGTGGGCAGTTCTACTCTGTTCTAAAGGGTCATTGTGAATCGGAATTGACTCGATGGTGTGGGTTTGGTTTTGGGAAAGACATGTCCATATGATATTCAGTGAGCTATGGATGCTGACTCTGGAACTGTACAGATTTATGGGACAGAGATGGCGATTGGGAACAGTTACCATAAATGTGATAATTGAAACCTTGGGGTGGGTGAAGTCCTTAATGGAGGATTTGAAGTTCTAAGGAGGCCTGTGATAGGAGTCTTGGGGATAAGATGAGTCTCCAGTGAAAACAGAAATGACCAAAGGGATGGGAGGAAAACTTGAGAATTTAGGATCATGAAGTAAAGACAGAATGCATTTCAAGGGTAGATTCCTTAGACTATGCTTTCATCTAACCTTGAAATTCTCTGTAACACTCTCACACTCAAATGTTCTGTTTCTCATGCTGGACTACGAGCATAGAGTCTCTACTGGCCTGATTATTTTATCTATCCTAGTACTCCACACAGGAGCTCTGGTAGCGTAGAGCCTAAGGCACTTGACCGCTAACCAGAAGGCTGGCGCTTCATACCCACCAGCCAGCCACTCCTTGGAAGGAAGGTTGGGCAACCTACTTTTGTAGTGATACCACCTCAGAAACCCAAGGAGGGATCATTATGAGTTGGGTCCGACTCAATGGTACATAAGAACAACAACAGTATTCCACACACTACCTGGAACATAGTAGGTGTTCAATCATCATATGAATGAATGAAAGGTCCTGATCTATGGGGAAAGTCTCTCCAGCTGGTGAAAGGTGCCTCCAGGAATGAAAATGTTTCCAAACTGCACATCATTCTAAAGCTTTGTTACCAATGGTGAATAGAAGGTGGATTGTGATGTGTGTGGAATGTGGGACCTTGGGAAATTCTGTAACCAAGAGGAGGAAGTAACAACAGCCAGTGGAGACAAAAAGAGCTTCTCCTTTTTTTCCTCCTCCAAGTTTCTAGTGGAGAGCTAAACCCAGGATTCCAATCTTGGGTGACTTCATAGGCAAGCATTCAGAGATTTGCTTCACTTTGAGTGTCCTAGCCTTCAGTGGCTCAAGGTATAGAACTCTGAGCAGGCAGGAGGCTTCCAGGTGGCAAAATTCCCTCTCTCAAGTCCAACACCATGAGGAAGGGAGAAAATTTGGAAGGACCACCACCCACCTCAGCCTACCGTTCTGTCATGGAGGAGTATGGTTATGAGTTGGGCAAGGTCATTGGCAATGGCTCCTATGGGACAGTGTATGAGGCTTACTACACAAAGCAGAAAGTCATGGTGGCTGTCAAAATCATCTCAAAGAAGAAGGCTTCTGAAGACTATCTTAACAAGTTCCTGCCCCGTGAGATACAGGTCAGAAAGGAGGCTGGCTGGAAGAGGGAACTGGAGCTTGGTACCAAACTGCTTGAGGCTTCTCTTAGGAGGGGTATGTTGCTGGCTAGGAGAGGGTGGGGCCAATCCCCAAACCACAGTTGTCTCACCAAGCACCTAGGAAAATTCTTTGATGTTAAAATTCAACCTCTTGCCCACCCATCTACTTACCGTCAGTCCCTCAAATAGTGAAACTGGAAAACACAGTGTCTGCCTACAGGCCACTAGGCACTTGTCTACCAGCCCTCTGGGGTTCACAAAAGTTCTCTCCCGTAGTTCTAAGTACATAGCAATGGGAGAGTAGGGAGTACAACCAGAATTCCTTCTTCCCACGATTGATGGGTCCCTCTTCCCGGGCCAGGTAATGAAGGTCCTGCGGCATAAGAACCTCATCAATTTCTACCAGGCCATTGAGACCACATCTCGAGTGTACATCATTCTGGAGCTGGCTCAGGGTGGTGACGTCCTTGAGTGGATACAGCGCTATGGGGCCTGCTCTGAGTCCCTTGCTGGCAAATGGTTCTCCCAGGTGACCCTGGGTATCGCCTACCTGCACAGCAAGGGCATTGTGCACCGGTGAGGGTGCTGCCACCTGGACCTGGGGCCTTTGGGCTCGCAAGGAGGGTTTATATACATATCCCATTTTCTGGCCTCTTTTTCCCTCCCTTGACCTTCTTCTTCAGTATTCATCCACTTTATTTTAGTCATCTGGTCATTTATCAAGTATACACTGGTTGCAGAGCCCTGTATGAAATACAATTGTCCCAATAGTCCTTAGGGACTATTCTTTCTCTCTTCCTCTTTCTCCTTTGGGGTCTGCTTACAACTCCAGGGCTCTTTTCCCCTCTACCTTGTATCCTCATTATGGTGTCTCCTACTTTGCCTTTCCTCATATGTAACCTCTGACCCTTCAGCTCCAGGTCTAATACTAAGCCCTCTCCCCAGCCTGACGCCCAGCCTTTCTGCTGCTGGTAGGGACTTAAAGTTGGAGAACCTGTTGCTGGACAAGCAGGAGAATGTGAAGATATCGGACTTTGGCTTCGCCAAGACGGTGATTCCTAACCAGCCTGTGCGTAATAGCCCTTCTTACCGCCACATGAACTGCTTTGCCCACCTCAGCCAGACCTACTGTGGCAGCTTTGCTTATGCCTGCCCAGAGATCTTGCTAGGCTTGCCCTACAACCCTTTCCTGTGCGACACCTGGAGCATGGGCGTCATCCTCTACACCCTAGTGGTTGCCCGTCTGCCCTTTGACGACACCAATCTCAAGAAGCTGCTGAGAGAGACTCAGAAGGAGGTCACTTTCCCATCTAACTGCACTGTCTCCCAGGAGTGCAAGGTGCTGGCTCCCCCAGGAGGGCTAAGACCTCATGGATGACCCACAGGGAGGGGGTGAATACCCAACCTAGGCCTCACAACCTGGGGAAAGGCTCTTCCAGCAACAAACTCGTGTCATATTCTAGTCCTTGCCTGTAATAGTGGGGAGGGCTTACAGGGCCAATCACTGGGCTCCAACTCCTAGATGTGAATGATAGCAGGTTCCAGCCTCTACTCCATTAAGGCTGAAGGGGATTATGTAAGGGACTCCCTCATGGCACTCTTCCCCTTCCCTTCCACAGAGTTTAAGGCACAGAAGCCTGGCTCTCCAGGATGAAATCAGGGCTGTGCCCCTTCACCAGAGTGGTGTGATGGGCTATCCTGCTTCTTCCTTAGGTCCAGCTGCTCACTGCCTGTGTGGCACAATGAGGCGCAAGCTCAGCCAAGACCTCTCTCTCCCCTGCCCTAGAACCTGGTCCTCCAGATGCTACGCCAAGCAAGCAAGCGTGCCACCATCCTGGACATCATCAAGGATCCCTGGGTACTTAAGTTCCAACCTGAGCAACCCACCCATGAGATTAGGTTGCTTGAGACCATGTGCCAGCCCCCCAGCACCACTAATCGCCACCCATCTTTGGAAATCAAGACCTGAGAATGGCTGAGGGAGGAGGATGAGAGGAGCAAAGCAAGGGGGCCTGGGGCTATAATGTTTTATAAGAAAAATAAATCTAATTCTGATTTAGTTTCATCAGCTGGAGTCAATGACATTCTTTCCTCAGGGGAACCTAAACTGGGAACTCTGCTGAGGGTAGGAGGTGGATTTTTGTCTAGAGCCTGCAACCAGTAATCTTAGTTCCTTTGCAGCAACACTGTAATTCACGATGTGGCTCATGTGGAAGAAGGAGATGGTGCATTCTGATTAATACCCACTTTTGGGAAGCATCATTATTTTGGCTAAGAACATGCTGCTTCTTTTATATTCCGTTCTCTCTGAAGGTTCAAGCACTGGGGCAAAAGCCCTAGCTGCTCTGCTTTGGCCATGGCTCTGCCTGTCTACAGTCTAAAGGAATGGCTTTTTTATTTTTTTTCTTCTGGTTAGACAAATGAGTGTCAGGGTGAAGTATTTTGGTTCCTTCTCCCTCCAGGTGCCACTTTAACCACTATTGAAACGATCTGAATTAGGGCTCTCACACTATCATTCCCATATACAGAAGCAGCAGAGTTCAAACCAAGCCTTCTTGTGGTAAAAGCTATTAACTATGAATTCTAGATAAAGGAAAGCCACTCACCACTTCCATCCCTGTACTTCATGCTTTTCAAAAGGAAAAAGGATGGTGAATCATGGGCTGTGATGGCAGAGACCTAACTGGGGGAGAGATGTTTTTCATGTGGATTCACAGAAGGCTCCACATGGTTCTTAGATAAATAACAGGTGACAAAATTCTCAACCTCAGTACTAGGCAACTGGACAAACCAATTTGAAAGATGAAACAGTGTCTGCCTGGAACAAAGTAGGATAAGAAATCAGGAAAGCCCATTTATTTGTTCTATGTTCCAACCTCTCTTCATTACTCTCATTATAATTAATTGCTTGAAACAAGGCTCCAAGGACTATGGAAAAGTTTCAGGTGTAGACAGGCAGTATAGACTCCAGGGTTCCATCTGCCCAGTTTTATTGGGAACAAAGGCATTGTAATTGCTATCAAATAGAATGTAGCCCAGGGCCTCCTCCCACACCAAGATCCCTCCCCAGAGCTGAGCCAGGGATGGGAGGGCAGCAGATCTCTTTCTTAGGCAAGGTCACTCTACCATCCTCAGCAAGACCTCCTAAAAAGATGAGGCTCCTTTAGCTCAGCACTTGGCACTTAAGGAAAAGAGACCAATGAAGGCGGAGTTAGGAAGAGTAAGCCAGATTCATCAGGATACCCATTCTTTCAAATGTTTTAGTGCTTCTTCATCTTCATCTGCTTTGGGGACAAAGATATCCAGAGAAAGAAAGCAGAAGTGTTAAGACCTCAGCAACTTCTAACCGTCCCCTGCTATAACACTCAGCCTGCTGAATTACCTCTCCTCAGCGAAGAACCTAAAGGTGTACTTGTACTTGCTGCTGCTAATTCCCATAGTACTTTTATGCAAATTACAAGAAAGCACCTTTCTCCCAGCATTCTCCTAGCCTAAACCAGTGTGCACAGCTTGGTGAATGAAGCACCCCATCCCCCAGTGAGTCCTCATTCCCCCTTCAACCCGATGCCCTGTACAGTCAACAACTTATTTAACTGTAGCAGCAATCTTCTCTATCCGGCTCCTCTGAGGCAGCATAGATGAGGAATAATCTTTCCCATATCTTACCCACCCTCTTAAGTCCTCCAGACCACCAAACAGCCCTGGGTACCTGGCCCTGCAGGCAGATGTGCAGTGGGTACACTGGGTAATTCGACTGGGGGTTCTTCCTCCTTGTCGCCCACGTTTAACAACTCCCGGGATAATTCTTCTTGTTCCAGCTCCTCTAGCTCCTCCAACAGTTCATCCTGGGTGTAGGATGACAAGACTGTTTAAGATGAAGGAAAGAAACTTCTTCTTCCAAAACACACCACTTCTGTAGTTCCCTCCCAAACTTTGCCCACAGAGCCTCCACTGGGCATTCTGGCTGGTCTCAGGCTTTCTTTGATATTCCTTGACCCCCTCATCCCCAATCACCTCATCCACATCATCTCCAAAGCCCATAGGCCGAGAAATGGCATCTGAGATCTGCTGGGCCAGCTCTTGTTGTTCTGTGATGTCAGCCATCAGTTCATTCACTTTGTCAATGTCCCTGAGAATAAGACATACAGCCAAGAAATCAGGCAACAACCCCTGACTTTCTCATTTCACATGAATGAAGCCCATCTTGACTGTGGTCTCAGTCTCTGGTAAGCCTATGACTACCAGATAGAAAGACAAGCTTGGAAAATTGTAAAGAGGTATGTCTGGTCTGAGAATAAGAACCTACACTGGGAAGGATATGTTGAACTCCATTCTTGGAAAGATCTTTAAGAATCAGGAATAATCTTTTCTCCCTTAAATGCCTCAGCCAGCAAGGAAGCAAGAAGGTATTTACGCATCTACACTTGAACATTCACATTCTGAGAGCCTTTAAGGTTCAAGGAGTGATACCAGGCCACTCTCCCCACAGCCTGTGGCCCCTCTTCTTCTGCCCCATACCCACATGTCCTGGTAGGCCTTCTTCATGCCTTGGGCAGCAAGCTCCATGGTACGAAGCACTTCTGTGTTGGTGGTGGCATTCTCAATGGCTTCACGCTGAAACTCCAGGGTGGATAACGTCCCATCGGTTTGTGCCAGCTGCTGTTCCAATCTTTTCTTCCTCCGCAAAGCCTGCAGGGCAGCTGACCCATTCCGCATTCTGAACATCAGAGCCAGAAGCACCTGCTTCCCACCAGGGCCCTCCCCATCTGCTCCCTCCCCCCATTACCTCTCTTATTCTTGGTCCCATGCTTCTTGGCCATCTGTAGCTCCTGTTGAATCTTCTGCTCCAGAAACTCCTGTTTCTTTATCAGTATCTTTTCCGTCTCCTTTAGCTTCTGTATTGCCTCTTCAGGGGTTGGCCCCTTCTCCTGCTTTCCTGAAGAATCCAACGGAGTAGGCTCATATTGTGTGAAGGAAAATCATTAGCCACCAATCACTGAGTGCACAGTATGTGCTAGGTACTGTCCTAGGCACTTTATTATGTTATTGATAATCCCTCAATGATTCCCTACAATGAATGCACTACTTTCACTTTACAAATGTGAAAACAGGCTCAAAGATGTTAAGATTCTTTTGTCCAGAATTACAATTCATAAGAGACTGAGCAGGAATCAAAATGGGGCAATATGACTTCCAAAGCCAAGGTTCCTTTTGCTTTGCTATTCCAAACTGCCTTTTAAGTCACCTCTAGTCACCTTTTTTTTTCTTTTTAGGTTTATTTTTGTTGTTGCTAAGAATATACACAAAACATAACACCAAGTCAACAATTTCTCCATGTACAATTTAGTGGCACTAATTTCATTCTTCAAGCTGTGCAACCATTCTCACCCTCTTTTTCCAAATTGTTCCTCCTCCATTCATATAAACTCACTGCCCCTTAGATTTTCTATTTACTCTTTCAACTTGCTGTTGTCAATTTGATCCCATACTTTCTTGACCTTCTCTTTCATCTTCTACAATTCTAAGAGGGTTTCCCTCACCCCATGCGCAATAAAAATGTCCCTTGCCTATTTAAAATCCTTCAACTCTCCATTGCCTACAGGATAAAATTAATTTTTAAAAAAAAATTTTTATTGTGATTTGGGTGAAAGTTTACAGAGCAAATTTTCTATACAGCAGTTCATACACATTTAGTTTCATGACATTGACTGCAATTCCCCACAATGTAACAGCTCTCTTTCTACTTCCTCCCTGTAGTTAACCTCTTCCCTGTGTCCTTTCCTATGCATTCCTGTGCCATCCCCCCTACCTCCAGATGTCTTCCTGTGCAAACGCTGCCCTTCAGTTCTCCCACAATTGATCATTCTAAGGAATGTATCTACCTGATGACTTGATGTAAATATTCACCCTATCACTCACTGCTGTTGAGTCGAATCTGATTCAAAGAGACCCCTCTTTGGGTTTCCAAGGTGGTATCACTACGGAAGTAGATTGCCCAACCTTCCTTCTGAGGAGTGGCTGGTAGGTATGCCTGATTACTGTGTGACTGGAAGCCACAGAAGTGAGTTCAGTTCCAGACCTAATGGGTAACTAGGGGCCACAGTCTTGGGAGTCTCACTGTACTCTATCACACCAGTAACCCTAGTTTTTTTTTTTTTTTTTTAATGATTTTGAGTTTTGTTCCACATCATTCTCCCACTCTATCCTGGCCATTCAGTACCCCACCTCAGCTCTTTCTGTTTTAGGCTTTCACATATATTACCTGGAATATTCGTACCCCATTTTTTTTTTTTTTTTCTT